CCCTACTTTTATATAGAAAACATACTGCATTCATCTCCAATTTTTATATTTCTATCAAATCATTTTCAAACAGATTAAAAAATACGTGCTTACCAGATCTCTTCCTCAGGACTATGATGTCTCCACTGAATTGGCATACAAGTAGGTGCAGCTACATCATCAGAACACGACAGAGCGAAATTCACTTTTACCCTGGGATAGGGACTCACTTTACTTGCCTAAGCAATAGTACAGAAGAATTGGGAAGACAGTTTTAATATAGAATACACCTAGAAAATATCACATGCTGTGCAATACTGTGAAAACCTACACAAGCAAATGCTTTTTCAGTTCAAGAACTATTCAAACTTGTCAGAGTTTACAAACATATCCACGTAAAGCATTCTTACCGCTAAGTTACGAGATGACATCTCTGCTCTGTAACTTCGAACATCTTCTAAATCCAGTGTGGCAACCAGCACTTCCTACAGAAACGCTTTCAACATTAGATTCTATGCAAACACAGCTAAAGTCTTTGACAGGCAAGAAAAGACTACAGAACAATTTTGAAAGAGGAAAAAAATATGCAACTTCTTTCAATATACCTTTTTATGCTAACTTTACCCACAAATCATCTCTGACCCAGTAGAATTATTTACATTACAAAGTGAGTAGAACCAACTCAATTCACGAAGTATACTAGGATGACCATAACCCCCAGCAAACTTCCAGCACGTCAGCTGTGCTGAACAATAGGTTCACCATCAGTTGTGGCAGAGGACAGGGTAAGGAGCATACTAGAGTTTGACACATGACATGGGAAAAACCTGCAGCTGCAAGGACAAATCTACTGAGAAAAAGGTTTTGAAGTAAAGCTCATCCTATCAAACCTTTTGTCTACCAAACTGGGTTATAATTAGAACGTTGCAATCTTTGCCCCTTTTTGCTTAATTAAACAGATATAAACTAACAGGGCTTCTCCTACACATAGGAATTGCATACACATTTTCATGAAGAAGTTTCTCTCCTGTGACAGCTCTTCCTCCCTTACAAAAGCAGGAGAGCTACTGCAGATCAGCAATCTCACTATGAAAAGCTTTGGATCTAGTTGAATAGCGTAGTAAAAACATATCTATTTGGAATATAAGAGACATGGACATAGTATCAGTAGAACTTCTTGAAAGTCTTGAGCATGCATGCAGCCCTACTAACTTCGGCTGCAACTAACATTTAGTTTTAAGTCTAATATATTACCACATCATCAAGAGAAAATTGAGATCCTTGTACAACTGTGTCTCCATTCACAGAAATCATGGCACAGCCATCGTAATACAGACGATCACCATCACAGCCCTTCTGGTTAGCTAAAATGTATATTCCACCATTCTAGGAGGAAAACAGACAAAAAAAAAAAGCTTTTCAGAATGTAGCACCTGACCGAACGTTACAAGACAAAATTTTATTTCACTGTTCCTGTCCTTCTTATACTCTTCCTTTGTCTTTACATAGTGAACAATTTAGGGCTGGGACACCCTTTTTTTCATTTAACACACCATGCACACAACAGAAACAAATAATAGCGTAAGTATAGTAGATGAGCTATATCCCTTCCGCACTGTTGGCAGACAGGCGTTTTCTTCTGTTATCAGCAAAAAGAGTTGTTCCTTTAACCCAGATGTGGAGAGCTACACTTCAAAATTGAAATACTAAGTTCAAAACAGAGATTGAAAGAAGCAGGGAGGAGACAACAGAAGCTGTATTTGGATGTCTGAGAACAGAGCAGATGTTGTTAAATATAACAACGGCATGTTAAATCACTAGGACAAGGGAGTCGCACAAACTAATCACTTTCCAGTTTACCATATATTCATTGGTTTAGTTTTGTCCCCATCACTAACTGTGAGACAGAGTTACAGTCTAATCACTGAACGGTTTCTCTCCTTTAAAATAAGCAGAGCTTTCAATGTAGAAAAATAAAATATATTTTTAAGTAAGGAGATGACAGGAAAAAAACCGTAATGGCTGAGTTTAAACACCGATTTCTATCTTCCCTTCCCGATGCAATTCCTGCAGCAGATTCTCCAGCAGAATGGTGCTATGTGGACTAAGATCAGAAAAGAAACTGTAAATTTAAGGAAACGAGACAGACTTGTGAACAGTTTTCTATGTGCTGGGAAAATATCCCCTCTGGAGTGAATTACAAGCTGGTAATGAGCTGTCAATACAGTACATAAAGCGTACAGAGGGAGATTGTTTAGGCACAGATAGCTACAGAGAACAACCACAGCCACTGCTGGTGTGTCCTTTATGCAGGATGTGTTCACTCAGCTATAGGCTTTAAAACTGGTTGTAATTTACTTTACTATATACAGCGGATTCAAGATTTCAAGCTTCCAACTACTGAGCGCTCAGTTACTTTGAATGACTTTTCTGTTCCTCATGAGTCAGTATTTTTTCTTCAATGCTTAGCGGAATTAAAATAGGAGACATCAAATGCATTGTTGGAGCACACGTCCCCAGAGCTGGGAGTTATCAAATAAAACTGTTTTAAGGTATTCTGACTCTTCTGTAGGTATGCATGTGAAAGAAAGATTATATAGTTGGCATGACAGTGCAGAAGGCCTCCCACACAAAATTCCCTCTCAGAGACGCCCCTCTCCATACACATAGGCTTCTATCTCCCATATTCACTTGCAAATGCCAAATGGCCTCTCTTCTGCTTCTCTGCTCCATGGACCAGACAGAACTGAAGGGCCACCAAACTGCCTCTGGCACATGGGGTTACAGAGCAGGAAAGAAGTTACAGTGCTTCACAGAGCATGCTGTATAGCAGGGACCCCAAAGAAGTACAGTTTCCCAGCCAGGGGAGCCCTTCCCCTTCAGCTAACTCGATTAGAGGAGGTAATTACAGTAAGAATGTCTCCTTACGGCGAGGTCTGCCAAGGCTACCAAAAACATAACCAAAAACTACATCTGTTTTGTATACCTTTGCTGTGGCAGAATTCACTAAATCCACCCGGGTGTGAGCCTTCCGCAGCACATGATGACTCCCCGAAGAGTTAGTGAAAATTTCCACCCCGTCAAGTCCCATTTCAATATGAGGGCTGTCAAAGTGAAAGGCAGAAAAATATTCAGCAGCTAATGCTGGGAAGGTACACTGCATGTATCATTTAAAACCACGGACAAAAAAAACATCTAAGTCACTGCAGGCTTTGTGCAAGTCTTCGCTCAAACAAAGGTAGGGCTCACATCTGTTTGGTGCAATGCATGGATCTTTTGTCAAACATAGGTAGCAACTCCAGAGGACAGAAGGGCTTTTACTCACTCTGTTGTAAATGAATGCTCTCAAGGCTATATAAGTCTGGGTCATCACTGGAAAAAAAAAAATAGACAATCTGGGTCTGCAATGGGGGAAGGAAATGTTTCCACCATTGAGATGGTCTTGCAAGGTAAATTGTCCCATTCTCCTCCTCTCTTAGTAAACCCAAAAGTACAAACAAATAGCGCCACAACAAGGAGAAGAATTATACTGCCTTTTTTTTTTCCTTCAAATGCCAAAAACTACATCTTTGTCTAAAACATCACTTTCTGCAATTACAAGGAAATGAATGACTAGAATTGAGAGATCTGAAAAATAGTCAGAAATATTTTATCTATTTTGTGTTAATTACAACAGCTTTAATTCAACCATTTCTCTTTTTTCTTTGCATCTGACCTATGTGACTGGTTTTCTTTATCATTGGGATAAAGTTTAAATTGTAACAGCAACTAAAATAGTGAACAGGAAATATTACTTAAGGGCACTAGGCTTTATTCTTTCTCAGTGACCTTTAGTTGTTTACTTTTGCATTATCTTTATGAACTGTCCAATGCTGGGCTGGTTAAAAATGAAGTAGAAAGTTACAGCTAACAGCTAAATAGAAAAAGAAATGATACATCTGAAAGTGATGTTGTGTATAAGCCTACGCTCTAGCTTGTCCAATGTAACAAAGCTCAACTCAGTTATGTGAAATGGTTTAGAGGAGTTGATAAAAGCTGAAGATAAGAATAATTACAATAAAAAGACCTATTCTCCCAAATTGTTGAGAATTTGTAGAGTACATGGGAATAATATGGGATTAGAACCAGACCAAATTGATACTCCAGAAATTAGGCCTAATTGCAAAATAAAATCATGAAAGGATGGCTTATCCCACTCACTTCCATTTAGGGAAGAACATAATTTGACATTGAGCCAAGGAGGACCAGTAGACTGAAACAAATTACTTCTGCTTTAGTGTGGCTGCCCCTCCCAGCATTTCCCAGGACCCTGAGAACCACTGAAATAACTTCATCACTTTAGACCTGGACCAAGTTACAGAGTGGGACCCAGAGGACATTTCCACCCCTGGGTCAACTAAAAGCTGAACAATATTATTTCTGGAATGGGAGCATTACAGTCCTCTGTCACCTCTTCCTCAGGTTGCCTTTTTCATTGTGCTTCTATATATTTCTCCCAGCTTCTACATACAAGCAATTTAACTTCACCACCTAAAACCTCTTTTAGCATTCTGCTAGGCCTAAACTGCTCTCCTAGAGTCTTCCATTAGGACAAGCTTCTCAAACTGCTTCATAAAACGATTCTCCCAACTTGTGTTTGCATACCAATACCGCCATTACTGGTAAAATCAGCGCCAGAAATGGCAGACAGATAACATACTTTCTATTATTTTTTCTTTTCTTCTGCATGTTTGTCTCACTTTCTTTTCATAGAAGCATGAGCAGACACTCAAAACCACATCTGCAGCAGCTGAAACAATTCCAGATCTATCAGGCATCTCTTTTCCCTTCCTCTCAATAATACTACCTTCTCAATACCAGTTAAGACTGTCAGAGCAGGCTGAATTTCTGCTTACAGAGGACTGATATAAAGGAATGCCTTCAAATTAAAAGCTTACTCAATATGTCAAGTTTCTAATGGTTTTCTATATTTTAGCTGAGATTATAAAGATTTTTAATAGTTATTATTTACCATTAAAGTACGCAGATCCCCAATTCTGTCCTCACAACTTTGTGCTTTTCCAGCTGATCAGTGTTTTATAGAAACAGAGTCTCATTATTCTATTACTTATTACTACATTACTCACTTCCCTCCAAAACTATTCAATCCACTGCAATTTACATGCAAGGGTTACCCTCGGGAACATACTCTTCAGCATGAAAATCAGTCAGATTCTCTGAATCAAGATCAAGGAATGGGAGTTCCTCTGGAGATATGAGATGAGGATCTTGCCTCATATCTGTGTAATTCCAGTAAGTTCAAAAGACTTAACATGGGTATAACTGAGCCATATACAAGCCTACTAGGGTACTTATCCAGTTCCTTTAAAAATAAGTAAAAGCATAATGAAAAACTCTTATAAACACAGTCCTGTGAGAGTTTCTGGACATCTTGCCAACTCAACCAGCAGAAATTCTAGAACTGGCCTATCAAACAAGGAACATGGGATAACAATGAAAAATGTTTATACAAAGGCAAAGAGCCTAACCAATTTAATCCCATTTTATTGAAACCTTTCCCATGATCCATTTCCTGCTCCTCGTTAACATTTAGCTTACTGGAACTTTCTGAAAGATATACCATAGATGAACTTTAGGTAAATTTTCTAGAAACATTTCCTCTTGACAGCTCAAGGGTATGTTTTATTCTACTTTTAATTTCTTCTTCTCCTTTACCTGTTTGGGGCCCAGAGTTCTTCACATATTTCTGCCCCTAGGCAGGTATCTTTGGTTGCTAGCACTGCATCCCCAAAAGGAACAGTTTCCTGAGGGGGGGAGAAAAAAAAAATTCTGACATACATGTAATGGAAGAACCTATTTCACACAAGTCAAGAAATTAGCTACCAATCTACAAAAAGTCCAATACTTACTTTTGTGAAATAAGTGATACAATATCAATCACAGTGTACCCTTCTTTGTTTTAGACTGAGTTTAAGCAAAGAAAATTCTACACTGCAAATGTCTGAATTGTAATGACATTTCACAGGTATTCAGGTTCAGGGCTTTACCTCAGGACCCCTGCTTTTGAATTAAATGCTCCACAAAACAGAGATTGTCTTTTGCTAGAAATCATCCTCATGCTTCAGGAGGAAGCAGCAAGTTTTAGACATCCTTCTGAATCAAGACATGTAACATCTTTCTGAAATTTGTAACCTCAGATCACATCATCATTTCTAGTCTCAAGCACAGATAACCTGTCGTATTCCGTGCTACTCTGTACAACCCTCAGTAACTCTGACAAAAATTTTGGACTTGCTCCATTGCCAAGTACTAATATCAAAGAGGTTAAATTATGCTCCCATTTAGCGCATCTGAGAGCTATCATTGAAATCACTGAATCAGCAGTGTGACTGTCAGCAGAATTTGGTCTACTATAGTTTTATTCCATAAATTCTTTGTTTAAATTGGTGAATTTAGAAGATACTTTGGTGAATTTAGAATATACTAACATTAAAAAGAAAAGAAAAAAAAATCCTTTAAACTTACCTGTCCTGTCACTTCCTGAATTATCCTGGGTAGGAAATATTCCTCCACATGCCTAAAAAACAGGTTTATAAATTGTGAATACTTAGTTAAAAATCAGAGCATAAAAACTGATTCAAATGTCCACATAGTGTCACCTTCTAACTTTAACATTGGTTAAAAAATTGCATTTAAGTTCTACAGACTGTGTATATTAAAAAAAAAAAAAAAGGACTTTCATACTTTCCATGAAATAATCAGAAATGTTAAGATTATGAGCTAATAACATCCCAATCTGCTTCAGAGATGCATGGTAAGCAATTAACAAGAAAGTAGAAGTTAAAAAAGCTTCAGATTTTCTTTAACTTGGCTAACGCGCCTTTCTGCCATCCTAAGGCCTGCTTCTGTACTTTCCAATAAATAATCAGTGTTAAAACAAAAGGTCTTGTGGCTAAAGCTAAAGCCTGATATAGACTCCATCAGCCAAACACCTTCAATGGAGACATCCCAATTTTATGGAGAAATATGCATGAAGGATGCTGAAAAATGACCGAGTTGAAGTAACATTTTGCAACCTTTTAGCTATTGGGAGAGTGACAGAGAGGAAAATAACAGCTATTTAACAAAGACTTAAGAAATTTTTGTTACGTGGTAGAGATGCACAGCCTTCATGTTCTCTTCCTCCTAGCTATAAACTAGACGTGACAAAGAACATGTTAGGCAGGTCAAACACCAAATTAAAAAAAAATAAATTTCTCTTTTTTCAGGGTTATCACACTAGTATCTCAGAACTAATTTGGAATTGATTGCGGTTAAGAGGACAGATTCTCAGAGATTCTCTCAGAAGTACTCTATTAACACCATCAAGCTGGAATCTCCTCAGTATATTTTGCTCAGTCATCCTGCATCATAAAGTAGATAACTTCCATCCTCTGGAGTCTTACATTCTAACAGAGCACCACAAGTGTCACCAATTTCACATTGCTTTCCAATTTAATATTGAACAGGATGCAGCAATTTTGGAACAGGCAAATATAAGCCCTTCTAAATACAGGCTCTCTCAATCTCAAACTGCATATAGTTGAAACAGTAGGCATAAGGATTGGTTGAATCATTCTGCCACACTTTTCTGTCAAGCTCAGCTATTTCAAGTGGGATTATATTTAACAAGCTTTCTAAGTGAGCTATTATACAGCTTAGCTGACTTTGGCTTGCTGCTTACCCTGTAGCAGCACTGATGTGTTGCAACAGAGATTTCAATCCTTTCGCTGTGGCTGCAAACGGCAAGCTGTGTTTTTAACACTATTTTCATAGTATTTGGCCTACCTTGCTTTGTTCCATGGGGTAAACCATCGAAACTCCCTGTAGTTTCCTGCATTTGCCAATGTTATTTTTGGTCTGATCAGAAGAATTTTTCTGAAAACATAAAATAAAACAAAAGAGAAACAAAGTTAAGAACTGATGTTCAACCAAATATTAAATAAGAATACTGCTAAATAGCGAGTCATTCATTTTTTTCTGCTACGATACGCATTAAATACCTAACCACATATAATCATACTTTTCCTCTCTGCAGGCTTTTCAAGTTTTCTTTCTAGGCTCTAGGAAGTCTTTCAGAAAGCAATGGAAATTTAGTTTTTACAAGTTCAGAAAGGAAAGGGAGATATCAGAAAACGTTAATTGTTTCTCTAAAATTTAGTAGCTAGGAAGATGACTGCATTGCTTTACATAGCACTAAGGAATGTTTTTTCATACTTTCAGTGAAATTTCCATGAAATTTCAGAGGCCAAACAGAGGCCTCTAAAACAATACACTAATGCATGTCCCACCAAATGTGGGAAGAACTACTTACTTGTTTAAAAAGATCACTCGACAATTGTAGCGAACATTTCTGTGCATAACAGGCCTGTGAAAATAAGCAGATTTACCAGTGGCTAAACTTATTAAATGAAACAAAAAAACTACAGAATCTATCTCACCACAGAAAATCTATTATAAGACAGCACTTATACACTAAAGGGAACTAAATAAAATAATGTATCAAGTATTAACTTCTTTTATTCAAAGAGTTGTTTGCAAAAGTCAGTTACTGACTGTTCTGTCAGACTTAGATATATCATCTACTACCAGATCATTGGTTTGCCCAAGAAATGCAAGCAGAGCAGAAGAATGTTATTGGCTAGTATATTTAATCGAATTTGACTACCTATGATACTACTAGGCTAGCTCAGAATAAGAAAAGCTAGTTCTACATATTTATTTATATCAACGTTAATAAGCAAATGTGTGTAGAGGTGTTATTTTTAATATTACAGTTTATCACAGCTCACCATCTGCAAATGGCTTACAATGTTTCAATTATTTTGACATACACATATATCATTTGTGAAGATAGCGTGCAGTTCAAGCAACTTATTCCACAGAATGCCAGCACTTTTTACACTAACCCTGACCCTCCTGAAAGGCAGACAACTTATAAAGCCCCCTGGCTAGCTAGGAAATTTGAGATACCAAGTCTTACTCAACAGCTTACCCATTTTAGTCATGGGTCTAAAACGACTAGGGAACAGGACCCAGCCATTTAGTTTCCCAATGAAAAAAGAGTAATTATTCTGTCTCTCTCTGTCCGTCTCTCTCTCCTCAACCACTAGGAACCTCACCTTTTTCCCCTCTCTTCTTTAAAAGTTATAATATAAGAATGTCTTGTATGTCACAATCCTACTCATGGAAATCAGAGTAGAAAGTTTTATTATACAGATTGCTACTAAAAATGCACAGGTATAGTTCCTACAGCATGTTTAAAAGTTTGGTGCAGAGTCCTCGCTATCCAGGAACACAGCATAGTCAGTTTTCTGTAAACAGTTACCCTGTCATCATAGTTATATGAGACTTACATTCCCACATCACAGATAATATCTTGAGTAGCTGGAGACTCCAAAAGCTTTGCCAGAACTTGAAACGAATGCAAAAGCGTATCAGACTCGTAATAGTGATCTGAGCAGCCATAACCACTGCATATAAAAACATGTGAAACAATATTTTCAGGTAAGATCAGCATCAGAGCCACAGGATCAAGACTACTGCACACAAAAACCATCTCATACACATACACAACCTATATAGACCATGAAAAAGCAGTACTGTAAACATGAGCCCTACTGCTGGCATTTAAAATTCCTCAGTGGTGCTGGGATATTCCCTTCAAAAGAGCCTGATTAAAGGCAGCATCAAAGTACTACAGTCACCATGAAGAATACTCACTGAAATAGCTTCATACATTATTGTATCAGGGAAATTTTCAGGACCAAAGAATCAATCTACTGCCTACAACTACAGTAATACATTTTTTGTTTGCACTGACAACCACACATTTTAAATGACAATGTGCAAAGTACTCCTTATTTCATTTTCCTCTTGGCTGTTCCTCAGTGTTTAGTTATTCTGCTTTTGGATAACACATCTCTTGGAAACACATCAAGCAGGTAATAATCAAAACGCTCTCACCAAATTTCAAGCTCTGGACCAAGCCTGTATCTTGCTCCTTTGCTCTTTGCAATTTCAATACCTGGAAAAAAAGCTTTGATTAAACGTGAGAGCTCAGCTTTGACACTAAACCACCCAGCCTGCCAAACGACCACTGGACACTGCGCCGGGCCCACTGCGGCAGTGCCCGCCGCCACCACAGCCTCACCAGCGGTCTCACAGCCTCTCTCCGGGCACAGCTCCTAGGCTCTGGAAGCCAGCTTTCAAAATAACGAGTTTCCACTATCACCCTTAAAAACAGCTGCAGGAATAAATGCGGCCCAATGATGGC